TGCAAATCTCAAATGGCTATTAATGCAAGCACTGCCCTGATTGAAGTATGTCTGACCATAGAAGAAAAGATTTCATCATAATTTATCCCCTTATGTTGTGAACATTCATTTGCTACCAGTCGAGCCTTGAACTTTTCTCTTTTTTTTATACTGCTGGTTTTCTTTTGTACACCCATTAGCACCAATAACCTTCTTTTCCTCAGGAAGCTGAACTGACTCCCATGAGCAATTTTTTCTGCAAAGACTCCATCTCCTTAACAATTGTACCTATCTATTTCTCTTTCTCCTTACTAGTGATAGCTCCTTAAAAAGTGGCTGGATCATCGCTGCTGATGAGAAGTGCACAAGAGACCAAGTCTTCAAACCCAATCTACTAGGAGGAGGCCCTACTAGGAGGCCTTATATTGGTGCATCTCTGTCTGTCTCTGGCTAGATTATAATTCTGCAGATCATCTTGAATGGAATCACCAGGTGTTGGAGTTGAAACTTCAACTCTCTTAGTTGTTTCTGGATGTTGTTCTAAATTCATCTACAATACATATGAACTGGAACTGTTCTCTAACACCTTGTCTTGATTTCGCTGCAACATGGACAGTTCATAAAAAATTGCATATCTGTTGATCGCCATCTTATTTGCAATCGGATCCCAAAACTTGTATCCTTTCACACCTTTCTTGTTGCCCAAAAAGATAGACTTCTTGGATTTTGCATCAATTTTTGATATTTCATCTCCAGGTACCTGCACATAAACAGGACAATCAAAAATCTGTAAATGATCAAAATTAACTGGATTACATGTCCATACCTCTTTTGCGCTCTTGCCACCCCACGATGCCCGATGTGATCTATTGATGAGATAACATGCCATATTCACACCCTCTGCCCAGAAACTCTTAGGAAGCTCTGCATTCAGTCTTTTCAGTTAAGGACAACATGTTCATCCTTTCTGCCACATCATTTTGTTGTGGTGTCTTACGCATTAAAAAATGCCTTTGAATCTCATGCTCCTCACAGAACTTCTGAAACTGTGAATCTGTGTACTCTGTGTCATTATCAGATCTCAAATATTGATCTTTCTGTCAGTTTGGTTCTCCACCTCAGCTTTCCACAGCTTGAATTTAGAGAATAATTCAGATTTCTACTTCAAGATATAAACTCAAACTTTCCTGGAAAAATCATCAATAAATGTAACGAAATACTGAGATCCTCCCAATGAGGACTCCCTAGTAGGGCCCCATACATTAGAATGCACATAATCAAGAATCCCTTCAATTTTGTGTTTTCTAGTCATAAAACTGACTTAAGTCTATTTTCCAAGAACACAGAACTTACAAAAATCGAGCTTACAGCTTTTAACACCATGCAACATGTTTCTTCTATGCAATTATGTCATCCCACGTTCATTGAGATGATCCAGACACATATGACATAGCTTTTTACTATCATCATTTGACTCCACAAAATGAACTTCACCTATAACTTTACTCCCCAACAGTTTGTGGATATTACCTGCAGTTAACCGTTCTTTCATCACAGTCAATGCACCCTTAACAATTCTGAAATCAAAGTCTTCTTCAGATCTGAAATATGTCTGACATCACATAATGTTCTAACTGTGTCATCATACATCTTAATTCTGACTTCTCCAATACCAACAATATTGCAGCATATATACGCACCTAGATAAACTGAGCCAAAATTAGTTGACATGTATGAAGTAAATCACTCCCTATTAGGTGTTATGTGATAAGAGCATTCGGAATCAAGAATCCATGCATCCGTGAACTGAGTTGATGAAACTGAAAGCATATCGTCATCACTGCAATCTAAATTGTCACTCTACACCATCTTTACAGACTTTGATGATCCATCACCTTTCTCCCCAGTCTACTTCTTAAGCTTTGGACAATCTCTCTTCATATGACCTGGCTTCTTGCAACTATATCAATGAATTGTCTTTTTGCCTTTGGACTTGGATCTGGAATTTACCTTCTAAAATCCTCCTCTTTCTTCCTTCCATGATCCTGCTTACCCTTAACATATAAATTGTCGCAATGAGAGATTTCCCCAGCATTTTGCTTCCGTTGGCTGTGACCCAACAATGTTGCAGTGATCTCATCAACTTTGATAGTTTCTTTCCCATATGTAAGAGTAGTCACGAGGTGTTCATAGGAGGAAGATAGTGAACACAGCAAAATCATTGCTCGGTCTTCATCATCAATAGTCACATCAAGCCGTGATAAATCTGTGATTATTTGCTTGAAGCCATAAACATGTTGCGTTAGATCAGAACCTTATTGCATCTTCAGCCCATACAACTTTTGTTTTAGATACAATTTATTTGTCAGAGATTTAGCCATAAAATGAGTTTCCAAATTCTTCCATACCTCCCCTGGAGATTTTAGATTCTTTACGTGATTTATTACCTCATCTGTCAGGCATAAATGTATGGTTGCTGCCGCTCGTTGTAGCAATTCTTCCCAATCTTCATCTTTTATGGCATCTGGTTTTGTTGCCCGCAAAGCATTCAAGATTCTTTATTGAGCCAACAGATTTTTTACTCTTGTTTGCCACAATCCGAAGTTACCAGTTCCATTAAAATTCACCACCTCGAATTTTGCACCAGAAATTGTCATTTGAAATTGATCCTGCAACAAAGTATTCTGCAAATTCTTCTGCAACTGCTTGCTAAGAATCTTTCTAAAAAAAGTATTGAAAAATAAATTTCTTAATTAAGTTTTAGAAAAAAATTAAATATTTTTTTAATTAACCTTCCTTAATTAAGCCCTTAATTAGGAATGAAATTGGAGCAGATTTTCTTGAATCTTCCGCTTTACGAAGCTAATCTTCTGCTGGAGGAGAAATTTTCGAAACAGCAAAGGAAGGAAACAAATCGGAGGAGGAACCGAACCTTCCTTCCGTGAAAAAAAAAACATGTGCCCATCGCCCCGCTTTCTTCTCGCCTAGTCTGGTCGCCAACTTCTCCCGTCGTTACTCTTAGGGCCCGTTTGGGACAGCTTATAAGTGCGGGCGGCGTTTTGAAAACGCTGCCTCACTGTTTGGTACCCACTTTGGTGCCCACTTATGAAGAGATTATTTAAAACTGCGTTTTCTAAATTCCAAAAGACGCAGACCGTGGGGTAACCCACGCGGTCCGCGTTTTCAGATTCCAATTTACGCATAATGCCCATCGAGGGCGCTCTCGTGACCTTGCTTTTTTCCTTCGCCTCTCCCGTGACCGTAGATTCTCCTCTCGCTCTCGTCTCTGTTCAAAGCCGTGGCTAGGAGCTTCGCTTTCGCTTCTCCCTCTCATCTCCGTTCAACGCCGGATCGCAGTCGTTCGCCTAACGCTCCCGTCAACAACCCGTTCGACGTCGGATCCAGCAACCCTTCACCTCTCGCTCCCGTCAGCAAGCCGTTCGACGCCGAATCTAGTAGGGTTAGGCCGCTCGCTCCCGTAACCTTGCCATTCGACTCCGGATCGAGGCTCGCTCCCATAACATCTGTTCGACACCGGATTGAGCAGCGGAGAATCCATCGTCGGAGTCCAGCAGCGGGGAACCATCCACAGATCTGATTCTTTCTTGAAGTGGTTCTTCGGGCTTCACTCATTTTCCACCTACTTTGTTTTTTCTGTAGCCTTCTTCGGTTTTCCTCGCCACAGGTATATCTTCTTTGTTTTCTTTGTCATTACACATTTACAGCGACCTGTGGTTTTGCCTAAAGGAACTATCATCGATATTTTGTAATCACTAGATCTGATATTTTCTTAGAGAAGTCTCTCAGGCCATTTAAAAAAATATGAATATTAAAGTCTGATGTAGTTTCGTAGATCTGATATTTTCTTAGATCTGATATTTTTGTAATCATTAGGTCTGATATTTTTGTAGTCACTAGATCTGATATTTTCTTAGATCTGACATTTTCTTAGAGATTTTATCTAATGAATATTAAAGTAGACTCAGCATGATTGAACTATATTTTTAATGTTCTTTATGGCTTGAGGAAAAGTGCGATGGTGAAAGATTCTAATTTTGTTTTCAAGTGTGTTATCAATAGGTCTTTTTTTTTTAGTTGCTCTTAGTTCATTTTAGTTTCTCTTAGTTCCTTTTAATTTTGACATTTATATGCCATTTTAACTAATCTCAGTAGATGTTACTCTCGCCATATCTGATATAATAATTTTTCAATTTATTTTTTCAAGTTCTATTAAACATCCATCTAACATTTTCATTCACGTTGCTTAGTGAAAGAAATAAACATCATAAGAACTGACATTTAGATCTGAGTTTGCTCTAATTAAAGAAAAAATGTAATTGAAAATCTAATATCAAAGTAACTTTTAATTACCAAAATATATATAACTAGAATTCTTTTCGGTACCTCCACTTTATTTTCACCCGACATGGCTAAACATTATGATACATATCTAATACATATCTAACTGTTTATAACATATTGGATCAATATTTGGTTGATCGTTGGAGAGTATTCAAGTTTTGTTATCATCTTGATGAAATGACTTTTTATTTTTCTTTAGTTATTTCAAAGATGCATCTTTTTTTTCTATTCTAGGAATGAATCCTTTAAGTCTTTTTTTCTCTTCTATAATCTTTTGTTGTCTAAATTTTTATTTTGAAATTTTTAGAGGGTAGATATAGAAATTATTCTTTTGTTTTGTGATTTTTTTGCAATGAAAAGAAACATTTTGTGCTTATCTGTTAATCTGACAGAACTCAATGAGTAAAGCTAAAGAGGCTGGAACATCAGTCATGTGGGATAGAGAAGTTACTATGATCTTTTGTGATTTATGTGTAAGGGAGGTTGAGGTGGGAAATAGACCCACTACATTTTTTAACAAAGAAGGGTGGCGAAATATCTTGATTAAATTCAAAGAAATGACTGGAAGAGATTACGATCGCATGAAAATGAAGAACAAATGGGACCAGTTAAAGAAGGATTGAAAACTATGGAAAGAACTGAAAAAGGGATCAACGGGAATGGGCTGGGATCCAATTAAGCGCACAATAGATGCACCAGAAGAATGGTGGGCTGAAAAACTACAGGTGCATAATTTACTCTTTTTATTTTATGTTTAATCTAATTTCGCAATGACCTGACACTATTTTATTAATGCACATTTGTTATCTATACCAGCCAGTGCCGTCAGCAAAAAAATTTAAATTCGTTGGCATTGATCCAGTAATGGAGGAAAAACTAGATGGATTGTTCACTGGGGTTGTCGCTACAGGAACTCATGCGTTCACCCCAAATGATATAGGGTTGAACAACTCAGCCCAAGAGATGGATACCGTATACATAGCACTTTGGCGATATAAAGCTGCACTAAACATTTGCCTGCACTAAAATGGTGAAACTGATGTGCATCTCTTATAATAATCTCCTTTTTTATTACCTTGGATACAAGCTTTCACTGCAGGACGACAATCTCCGCAAATCCTAATATTCTTCTTAATCCTGATGGTTGTCCCATAAGGCAATATTAAAAAAGCAAAAGCAAGAGCAAGTTTCTCACTGTGATACTTTAGCTTTGCCTCTTTCTCTTGCTCATCCACATGCATAAGCACATAGTTTATATCTGGAACATAGCCTTCCTCTTTAATCCTGCCATTTATTTTTTCCCACATCTGTTCCACATTCTTATGCAATCTACAAGCTCCAAGCAGAGCTCCCCAGACAGCAGCGGTTGGCTTGAGAGGCATTTCATCTAGGAACTTAATACACTCTCTATTGCAGCAGGAAGTTTCAAGTTGCTTTATTCCCTCGAGTGCTATTGCATGCATACATCCAACTTCAAGGTAGTCATATGGATTTGTAGCAAAACATACATAATTAAATGCAGATGTTAGTAGTCACCAAAATTAATATAGAATTTAATACTCCAACTCATATATATTTTAGTTTTCAATGAAAAAGATAAAAGCACAATACATCGTTAAGTTTATACTGTCTAAAGTTATATGAACTTAACAATAAAACCACAAGGATTCGATGAACATAGCACTAGCATCTGATTAACATAAAGTTTATACGTTAAGCAAAAATAGACTTGTACTCGATTCATTGAGAAATCAATAAAAATTTTTATTTACTAACTTTTCCTTGAGTTTTTGAAATAATCTTACCTTATAAGAACTAGCATTATGGTACCGCACTTGTAGCACTATATACTCTCCAAACTCCACTAAGACTTTATCAAGATTCCAAAAATAACTCTAAATCATTTATCTAATTTAAATTTTAATTAGATTCCAACAATCATTTATCTAATAAAAATTTTAATTCACTAACTTTTTTCTTGAGTTTTTTTTATATTCTCTCTAGTTTTTGACTGAACAACGTTTTTTATATTAATTGTAGGACAATGAGCTCGAGATATTCAGGGAAGTCAGGGCAAATGATGTGCCAATGTGGGCTACCGTCATTGCTTTTTTACATCACGACAGACACATAGATACAGGCGACAATTCTACAGGTGCCCGCGGTGGGGACAAGGACCGGACGACTGCAAATTCTTCAGGTGGGCCGACAGTGGAACTATTTATACGTGCTCTCAATTGGACACAACTGCTAGGAGTACAATAGTACGACAACGGGAGAACTCCACAGGTGATTCAAGCTCTCACGTTTCTTCGATATCGCAGTCGGACAGGTTTGCTCAGGGTTCTGGAGTGTCAGATGCAGGAGGCATTGGCCGTGATATGCTGCTACATTATAAAGTTAACATTATCATATTTTTACTTATCATTTTAACATGTTATTTTTTTTTTATGGACTCTTATTATACTTTATAGTAGTATGTGCAGGTGCGTTTGACTTTTGTATGTGTAACATATTTGTTTGATGTGAACAGATATGTTTTAGTTATATAAATATAAATGATCTTTTTGCTATTTTCTTCTCTGAACAGTGATCTTTAATTTTGTTGAGAAAAGAACAAATTCTGCTGCACAGATTATTCATTTAATTAAAAAAAAATTTCCAAAAAAATTGTTTACAAAACGCATTAACCAAACAACTAAACTGCTTATTCAGAATAGGGGCAGAATGGTCAATTTTTCAGAATTAGTTGTTTTCCATAAGCGCAAACCAAATAGCGAGACAGCTTATCCAGATCAGCTGATCATCAGCAGATTATCAGGATAAGTTGCTTATCAGCAGAAGCTGGATAAGCTGCAGCTGCCCCCAAACAGACCCTTACAGGAAGCCAGACTATTCTGCGTCGCGGTTTTCTCGCAAAGCTTCGTTCCAGAAACCGAAGCCGAAGTGACGGTCGCGGGAATTGAAACTTTCCTGGTCGCAAACTGAACCTTCCAGATCGACGGTCGCAAACTGAACCTTCCTGGTCGCTCGCGGGAATTGAAGCCGAAGCCTGGCGAACACCTCCTGTCTGCCGCAATTCGCGGAAGAAGCTCGAATCCTTCACCGCTTTGCGCGATTCGCTGAAGACCTTCTCTGCAAAACTGCCGCAAACCCCAGCCCTCCTTAGCACCGAGTTGTCTAAGCCCAGCCACGTCAAACCGAATGCTCCTTTGCTGAAACACCTCCGCGAGCTCTCTGCAATGAAACACCGAAGCCACAAACTCCACCGATTTTTCTTCTTGCACTAAAACCGATACAAGAAAAATAAAAATGGACACAAATCCTGAAGAATACAAAGAGATTTAACGAGGTTCAACAAAGATGTTTACGTATTCGGGAGCCGAGCGGCGGCTTTTCTACTAATCCAAAAAAGAGTACATAATATAGAATATGGGATAAGTCCTAGTTACATACAGGTCTATTTTATAACCCTAAAAAATCCTGGAGTACAATATGTAATTACCAAATTACCCCTGTACCTCACCCCCAACCCACATAAGATAGCCCCTCTGATTTGAACAGAATCTTTCGCTCCGCTCCAGCATCTATCTCTTATATGGTATATGAGTCATACCTAACAAGAGATTTTCAAAGTGCAAACCCTTCTTCAATCTCTATTGTGTGGTTGAATTTGGCTTTCCACCCCTCTTTCTTGTGCATGAGTCAAAGAACTATGAAGGTAGTCCAAATTCGAGTTTGTGATTCTATAGTAAACTTGTATGCTAAATATTTAAGAAGAAAGGTTTATTCATCCACATGCATCTTCGTTTTTTTAAGTAGTGTCCATAAGTAATTGAGAATCAAAGTGGATTTGAGTCCAGATTCCATAGTATCCACATAAATATCTAGTATGCAATGTCACCGTAGAATCACACATAGTTAAGGATATGGATGAAAAATGGAAGATGCATGAGGAGAAACAATTCTATCTTCTTATAAATCTATTGTCTGGCAGAATTTCTCTAACTCCATATTTTAACTATATAAAGTTGAATAAATGATATGAGTTGCATGTATACATGCGTAAGGAAATACATTGGAGTGACATAGCTTAATATTGTTACAAATGTGGGACGGATGAGGCATTATGTTTTAACATGATTAGCCTAATATTAATCAACTTGTTTTTTTTTAAATGAATCAATTTAACAGTGACATAACTAGTTATTGTTATAAATTCGCACATTGTCTATATAGCTGGTGCGGAGTCTTTATCCTTTTCTATATAGCTGGAGTACCTTTTGTTGAACAGAGATTTACATGTATAGTACTTTTTTTTTTATTTACATGTCTAATTCCTAAATTTTTTATATTTACATTTATAACACTTTAGCGTACAATTTTATAATACTTTAGTGTACAATGACATCAAAACATATGCATAAAAACGTGTTTTCCACTCTAAAGATGCTAGTATTAGTGATCTTTTTTTATGTTGTGAAAATTTTAGTGTTACATATGATATGTAATTATTGAATTTTGGGTATTAGAAATGGAATTGCATAAGATTTGTGTGATATGTATGTAAAGCCTTTCTTTTCTTAACATGTCATAGAAGTGTGATTAATTGGTGGCATAGCACACAAATCTTATGTATACAAACCATACAAATCTTTTAACCATTTGGTATGTAGTTTTTTTCAAAATGATAATGAAGATTATTTGGAAAGCTTTATAATGCTAGGATAGTTGTTGGAAACAATTGCAGGCTCGACATTGCTTTACTTATATCTTAATACATGAAAATTGATTGGTTTGTATGTATAAGCTCCTTCGTATTTTGTCGGCATTGCTCTATTGCAAGGAGTTAACCTTACAGTTCCCGGATGACCTTATTTGTATGTGCTCGACATTGCTCAATTGGAAGGGATTTGATTGCAAGATAGAAAATCGATCCATATCTTATTGGGATGAGATTCTGTGTTGTTCATAGGATTTGGTGGGCATTCTAATTTCTATTCTTGTTTGTTCATTGTGAGCATCTTTCCAATCCAGGTAGGCATTGGTTTTGAGTCAATGTGGCTTGTCTTTGTTGATATTGTATACTAACTTGGGCCCTGCTTCGGGAATACTTTGGCTACTTTATTGTTTGATTTTTCATGATTGAATTCTAAATGGGTTTTAAGCATGTAAGTGGCCTCTATTTAAAATGAAAAGTTGGAATTTATGTTCTGATTGTGGAAGTTATCCATCTCATTTGGGATCACACACTTGTTGCTTATATTTTAATATGTAAATACATAAGAATTGAGTGAAGTATGTGTGAATGGGTCCGGGATGTTGATTTTGGATTTGTGTGCTGCAAAATGAGAAGAACGACATATTTAACACTTGTAGTCCTTGTTTTTTTTTCTGTGCTGCAAAATGAAAATTGGTTTTGTGTGTTGCAAATTGACAGGTGGTGTTGTGTGCTGATTTTTTCAGTGGCATGCATCTGTTTGCACCTCATAATCAATTTGACTGTTGATTTGGACTTTGGTAGTGGGAAATTATTTGCAGTTATGGTGTGTTTATTATTTGTAGTTATGAATATCTCAGATATATTTTACAAGTTAGTGATATAATTTAGGGTGCTTTATACCAATTGCTTTCTATATTATTTTGGATTTGCTGATTTTTTCAAATTTCTACTGATCTTTAAAATTATGGCCGGGTTGCCGGTTGAGCTATGATGTTCTCCAACTATTGCATTATAATTCAATCATACTTGTAAATATTTTGGTGCTAAAATACTTACAGTATTTGGAAGGTATTGTAATGTCTTTTTTATGAGATAAGTACTAAGCTCAATATCTTTTTCATTTTGAGTTCCTTCTTGTGCTTCTTTATTTTTGAAGCCATGTTGAACGTATTATTTTCTTTCGTGTGTGTGTGTATTTTTTTTTTATCTTGGTTTTTTTTTTCTTACATAATATTTGTTTGTTGGTTTATGTTTTGAGTTTCTTCGATTATGACGAGTCATTTGACCTAAGAAGCTCTTATGGATAGCTTTTTTTAAGGGTCTACAGCTTTTTTGTATATGCAATGAAATTCATTATTATGTGCTAATCATCTTTGTACAGGATTGTTCTATAGAAAATGAGCTCAAGCATCGACCATTTTCATGTAATTACAATCTATTGTGCATCATTTTCACAACTCAGAAAAGAAACAATGTAGGATGAAAATTTTACAGATATCCAAAGAATTTAACAAATAGATATTGTAAATTCTTTTAGTAGGTTGATAGACCTAGATATGCGCTACAGAAGTAAGCTGACGACAAGATATATACATTTGATGACACTGAAAAAAGATGTTAGAGACTTCAAGTTTCTTGTGATGAATTTAGTTATGTTCGATTTTCTGATTGTAGCATTGCTTTTGTTATTGTTAGTGTTGTATATATTTTGTTTATGTACTGGTATTCTGGACAACAAACTGTACCGCATTATGTTTTTATTTTGTAAGCAAACTTGTTTTTTTTTTCATTTGATGTACCAGAATTTCTACTGATTGTGTTACTGTTGGAAGGTATAATTTGATGATTTCTTATGATTCAGTCAACGTGGACATCTATTTGCTCTATTATGTTGTTCTGAGTGAAAAAAAAAGCATGATAAATTGTGATTGGATTTACCCCACAAGCAACACTTTCAAAACTGTGTTTTTCAAACAGTTTAAGTTAAACATTGTTTCTATACTGAGGGCATTATTGTCCCTACGTCAACAGACAGTGCGCAAAGAAATATGTTTTTCAAACAGACCAACTGCTTCTGAAACACCAGATTCTAAACAATAAATTTTCACAGTAGCTTCTAAACCGGCTTTTCTACCGCTGCAGCTGTAACAAACACACCTTTAGGTGTATATTTTGAAATAATTAAAATATTACTGATAGAATAAATAACTCCTACTTTTAATATAACGGCACATGAATTGGATGCATTATTGGATGATGAAAATTAAATTTTATATTTCCATCACTACTCTGGCAATTCCATTTCTTAGTCAGTTTTGTTGGAAGCCTCTCTTGTTTATCTATTAAGCCAGTCTAGCATTTCAGAAGATTTTTTTTTTATGAAAATGTAAAGCATGAATTCACATATTTTATATAAAAAAGTTTAATTTTAAATTCTTGAGAAAAATTTAAATTGATTGAAATCACAATTAGATTTAATGTGGGGGGAAATAAATAACATATAATAAATATAATAGAATAATAGTTGTGTGTCTTACTAATGACCCTAGCAGCTAATGAACATTCAAACCAATTACCCAGAAAAATGGAAAAAAATTGCGTACGTCAAGCGTACGCAGGAGTTACGTACGTAAAAGGGGGTTACATGGGGATTACAAGGGGTTATAACCCCGTTGTACCTCCCGTGTAACTCCCGTGTAATCCCGTTGTAATCTTGCGGGTTACAAGTGAGTTACACGAAAGTTACAAGAAAGTTATAACACGCTTGTAACCCCCATGTAACCCCCGTATAACGCCCGTGTACCCTATTACGTACACATCT